TTCTTTTCTTTTCTTTTCTTTTCTTTTCTTTTCTTTTCTTTTCTTTTCTTTTCTTTTCTTTTCTTTTCTGGAAAGTAAAAGGGTTACATGTAAGATGAATGAAGCAAACATGACTAAAGGAAATGTAGTAGGTCACACTTTTAGCTAGTGCAACATTGTTTCTCTAACATCTTCATGGAAGAGAACACATTGAACAAGGAAGAGAAAAGAGAGTCCCAAACTTCCTRTATTCGTATCCTAATCTAGCAAAGGTTTTACAATAGTCAAAGCTGTAGACTTTAGCTAAGAAATTTGCTAATTGTTATTTTGAAGTACAGTCACGCAAATTCCTAAGATACTCAAATCTTTCCCTGTTAGTTTTCCTTTTCTGTTGCAAAATGGGGGTATTATTAGCTACCCGCTGAAGTACAGTTATTATTTGAAAAATTCTTTTAATGAAAAGTTTTGGTAAGTGAAACTACAGAAATCTAAACTTTGGTGACACTTTGCACAATTTCTGATTTGATGTATCAATCATGATTTTATAGGGCATGGCACAGCTTGAAGGTGTTGAAACTAATAATTGTAAAGCATATAAAAAGTGATAGATGAGAAAAAGGAAAATCAATACATAGTTCCATAAAAAAAAAGAAAAAGCAAACAAAGCTGTGAGGATGAGAAACCTCTACAGAACAGGAAATRGACTGGTAACATGACAGAGACACAGTTGCATCTTTCTTTAAAGGAACTGTAAGAAAATCCTGAAGAAAACAAGTGAAAGGGCACAAAATTGGCCTGAGGGAAAGTAGAATTACATTTATAGTATTGGTCCTGCCTTCAAATAAGCCCCYGTTTGAAGGAGGGAGTTTCCATCCACATAGTGTTGAATATCAGAGGAAGAGAGGGATGAGGCAAAACGTCTTGGAGCTCCTCTGATAGGAGGCATCCCTCATCTTTTCCAGCAAGAGGCGGAAAGCTGAAGATGAACGAGTTCCCACAAGATACTCGGACACTGCACAGAAGCCCAAGCGGCCCCGCTGAATCCGCGCAGCGAGTTGCCCGCACTGAGGATCTGCTCTCCAGATTCCTGACATCTGCAGCACCACGTTCACGGAGGACGTTTCTGACCTCAGAAGCAGCGGCTCGCGTTATTTTTTCTTGCTATTGGCATAGTTTCATTCCATCTGCTGATTATCCCTCCTATTCTTTTGTTCCCTTCCCATTACGCTGATGTTCATTTCAAACAAGGCAGATATTGTACAATGTGTGATGTGCCTGCATAAACAGTGCAAATGAAAGGCTTGCAGCGAAAAACTAAATCATCTTTGTAAGGGCCGTGTTTATGCTGGGAAAGAACATTGCTATCCCCAGTGAGCAAATGGAAAGTACGAAAATGAAAACAGGAGTAAAGAATTTAAATCCAGCACTCGTGCAAGAAAGGAGTGTTAACAATTCAGATGCAGAAATGAACACAAAAGGCTAAAGGTGAATGTTCAATATTCCTTACAACGCTTTGCTCACGCCTCAGATTAATCAAGTACAGTTATTCATCAGCMAACTACCAGTTTCGGTCTGCAAAGMGCTCAGAATGGTCTGCTCAAAAGCATGCTTGATGTGGAAAAAAATATGACCCAATGCAAAAGAATCACAAAACCGATTAAGTGGAATTTCCAAGGACTACGGAACTACTGAGATGAAGTGCAAGAAATCAAAAATGAAACCCACCTTTCCCCCACAACTGTCTGAAGGATAGAATGAACTCTGACAACAAAAGAAGTATTTTATACAGTGTAGAAATATGGATGCACATTGTTCATTTGCCACAAGGTGGCATGTGCTCATCTAAAATGAGTTCCGCTCAGGTGAGGTTTTTAAGATCTAAACAGCAAACCTCAGACCTGGAGTAGCTTCAGCTTCAACGGGGGTGAAGGGCAACCTTTTAAACCGCACTAGAATTTACCCCTACAGTTTCAGAGGATCCCATTAGGCATCCAGGAATATCACCAACTAGAATTCACATATTTTTCATGGAAAAGTTTTCTCTTCCCTCTTGTCCCATATCAACTCAACCCATTTGCTCATATTAAATGAATATGATACCCTTTCATAGCTCTATCAGAAAGCCATTTCTCAGTGAGGATGAGTTTTCTGCTGGCTTTGGTACATTCTCTGCTGAAGAACGTATCTTTCGGGATCTGATGTCTGCAAGAACCTCCACAACATGGTTTTCCTTGTGGCGCACAGGTGCCCACAGGGGCACCTCATGGGTCTGCAGGCTGAAAGGAGCGGGAAAGGGGCAGGCTGCCCCCTCCGCTGCCTGGGCTCCCCATGCCGGAAGAAGGTGCTGGATTGAGGACATCATACATTGAAAAACTCATCTCTTATTTCACACACAAAGAAGCAACATTATTTTCAAAAAAAGGGACATGTGCCTGTGGTTATGTCTTTGCAAAGTAAACTTCATGCTTTCTTTTATGAACTTTATAAGTTTTCTGAAGCATTCGGGAGGTTGGTTTACTGAAGCAATTCGGCAGTGATAAACACACATCTAGGCACAGCTCTCACACGGGTCGCGCACGGCCGGACGCCGCTTCCCAGCCCCGAGCCAGCAGAACTCGGAACACGGGCACCGTGATCCATGGCAAGGGCACAAATCACCCTCAGCAGCACCCAGTGCTAAAGGCGGGCCCTGCAGCTAATTTTAAAGGTGAAACTTGTACATTCAACAGCAGTTTGTGTCAAGCAGACCTCGGAAAGGCAGCCCRGAGGCTTTGTGCTCTTCCAGGGGTAGGAGCCACACGGTGCAATTTACATGGACACTAACTCTGTTAGCTAATATTATTTGAATACCAACTAATGAGATACACAATACTATCAGAAATGTACCTTAAAAATATCTTAATATAACTTAACTTTGCAAATGATTTTTGGGGTCAGATCTTCCTAAAAGGTCCTCACAATATAGGAGTATCAGCCCAACATATTCCTGTCCAGTAAAGGTCAACTGCTCTTATTATTCCTTTAAATGGCAACCTCGTATCTTTTCTCATATTAAAATAAACCGTTACATATATCTAGTGCTCTTATACTCGAGATCGAAATACCTTTGTGGCTGCTAAGGATGCCAAAGGGACTTTAACCAGGCTTTGAGGAGCCCTAACGCATGTCCGGGGCTCCCTTCAGCGCTAGCTCCGGGAGCCCTCACGTGAATACACCAGCCCACAGCCAGCAGCGCGGCCTCGGCCGGGCTACCGTGCGTGAGGAACACCCCTGGGCTGCAGGTCTCCTTTACCCGCATGAAGGGCGCTGCTAAAGCGGGCCCTGAGGGGCAGCCCTTTGCGCGAACCAGCGGCTCCGCAGGGCGCCGGGAACGCTAAACCGACGTTGCTAAGCCGTGCTCAGTAAGCACGGGTTAAGAACAGCGGTAAACGGCGGTTTCTTTGGGCCGGGCCCGCGGGC